ATACAAACTACAAACTCTCATGTTGATAAACAGGAGTCTCTAGAAGAAACACAAACTACAAACTCTCATGTTGATAAACAGGAGTCTCTAGAAGAAACACAAACTACAAACTCCCACGTTGATAAACATGAGTCTCTTGAAGAAACACAAACTACAAACTCTCACGTTGACAAACACGAGTCTCTTGAAATAACACAAACTACAAGCTCCCACGTTGACATACAGGAGTCTCTAGAAGAAACACAAACTACAAACTCTCAAGATAATATACAGGCGTCTCTAGAAGAAACCCAAACTACAAACTCCCACGTTGATATACAGGATATTTTGGACAAATCACATGTGATCAAAGGGAACGTTAATAACTTAGATAATTTGGATAAATCATATGTTAACAATGTTCAAGATGATGATGAACTGGACTCTTCGGACATGGCACATGTTAACAATGTTCAAGAGGACATACTAGATACGTTGGAGAAATCATGTGCTAAAAATGTACTTGGTGTTTTAGACAAACCTCACTATGATAAACGAGATACTTTGGATAAAGTATATGTTGAAAATATTCTAATGGATAAACTGGATATTTTTGATATATCACATGTTAAAATTGTGAAAGTTCATCAACTGGATACCTTGGAGGAATCATATGCTGAAAATGTTAATAAGAATAAACTAGATATTTCGGTCAAATCATGTGTTAATGATGTGATCGCTGAAAAGCTGGATAATGCGAACAAGCCACATGTTGAAATTTTGAATGTTGAAAAGCTGAAGAATTCGAGCAAATCACATTTTATAAATGCGAACGTTGAAAAGCTGGATGATTTGAACAAATCAAATGTTAAAAATATGAACGTTCATAAAGACGATATTTTGAATAAATCACAAAATTTTCAAATTGATAAACAGGATATTTTGGGAAAATCACATGTGATCAACGGAAATGTTCATAACTTAGATGATTTGGACAAATTACATGTCAAAAATATAAACATTGACAGATTGGACGACTTGCATAAATCAGATGTTTTTAACTTCCCAACTCATAAACAGGATTATTTAGCCAAAACTCTTGTTAAAAATGTGGGCTTTGATAATATGGACGCATTAAATATATCATATGATAAAAATGTGAATGCCGATAAAATAGATGTGGATGAATCACGAGTTGTAAAGTCCCCAGTTGGTAAACAGGATGATTGGGCCAAAACTCCTGTTAAAAATGTGGGCTTTGATAATATGGACGCATTAAATATACCATATGATAAAAATGTTAATGCTGATAAAATAGATGTGGATGAATCACGAGTTGTAAAGTCCCCAGTTGGTAAACAGGATGATTGGGCCAAAACTCCTGTTAAAAATGTGGATTTTGATAATATGGACGCATTAAATATAACATATGATAAAAATGTGAATGCTGATAAAATAGATGTTGATGAATCACGAGTTGTAAAGTCCCAAGTTGGTAAACAGGATGATTGGGCCAAAACTCCTGTTAAAAATGTGGATTCTGATAATATGGACGCAATAAATATATCATATGATAAAAATGTGAATGCCGATAAAACATATGTGGATGAATCACGAGTTTTAATGTCTCCAGATCATAAACAGGATGATTGGTCCAAACCACAAGTTAAAAATGTACGAGTTGGCCAACTAGATATCATGGAGAACTCAAAAAATTATAATTTCGATGTTGCAAAAAACATTTCTTCAAAAGAAGACATATTCATTGATACAAATATTATACTGGAAGAACCGAAAAATGAAAATTCATTTGTCGATACACATGTAAGTTTAGGACAATTACAAACAGAAAATATTCAGACCATTGCAAATGAGGCTTTAAATGAATCGCATATTGAAAATCCCCTTTTTATTACAAATGATGATTTAGATACATTATGTGTAAAAAACTCGCATATTACTGTAAAAAATGATTTGAACAAATCTCATATCAATACCAATGGTTGTACTGACAAATATCACTTTGAAAAACTTCGAGATGAAAGAGGCAATTATTTGGATGAAACAAAAGTCGGGAACAACCATGTAAACAATAAAAATGAAAAATCAGTGACAAAACATGACGAAATGAATTGTATCTACCAACAATATTCTGATGGTCAGTGTAAGGAAATGTCTAGTTTTTATTCTGGTGATCAGAGTGTGAATCACCATGAAATTGATCACTTTGATTCTTCGTCTCAGAATAGAAGACAATTCAGTAGTTTAGGTTGTCCATCGTTTGAAACCAGAAATCATGATCAGATTGATTTTCTGTCTCTGAATACAGGACAATTCAGTAGTTTAAGTTGTCCATCGTTTGAAACCAAAAATCATGATCAGATTGATTTTCCATCTCTGAATACAGGACAATTCAGTAGTTTAGGTTGTCCATCGTTTGAAACCAGAAATCATGATCAGATTGATTTTCCATCTCTGAATACAGGACAATTCAGTAGTTTAGTTTGTTCACCACTACTACGAGTTAACACCAGGAATCAAGAAACATTTACAATCGAAGAAGCAGATGTATCAGAAGTCGAAAATATAAAAAAAGAGGAAGATATTCAAAACAAGATATGTAGCGGTAAAAAACAGGAGAATGTTATTTCAAAAGAATTCCAATCTTCAAGAGCTTTGGAGCATAGAGAAGAAAAGAAAATGAAAGATGCAAGTAAGAATATTTACACAAAACTAAATTTTAAACTTGATTTTATTTTCCCTACAGGTTCAAACATATTGGTACAATTCTCCAAATTTTATTCATATATATAAACTTTATGCATGTATGGGCGTTAATATTTAAAAAAATAGTTACTTCTTCATATTTTAAATAATATTTTCATATTGAGATATCATAACCGCAGAACCTTATTAGTCACAATAATCGCAAAAATTTAGAAGTATCACACCAGGTTCTAACAATATTTTCATATTGAGATATCATAACCGCAGAACCTTATTCGTCACAATAATCGCTAAAATTTAGAAGTATCACACCAGGTTCTAAACTTATAATTGTAAATTTAAGAAAGAACAAATTACAAGATGTTATCGAATATTGTTTCTTTTCTTCCAAAATTATGAACCTTGTTTGATGTAATCCACTTTAGCTCGATGTTGGAAACCCTCAAAAGGCAGGTTAACACTTATTTCAAAACTTTGGGTGAAATAAGGAGGACTTCACTTGAGCTATTTTTATGTATCGCATTATACAAAACAATTGTTATCCTTCACTGAATCATTTTCATTTTATTCTCATAAGATAACCCTGGACAAGTGCAGAAAGATATCAATTACTTATATTATGTCAAAACATCATCCATTATCAATATAGAATCTGAAGTGTCAATAAATGCAACTGTAAAATGATATCTATCTATCGACGTAATACCACGTTCTAGGCTCGGTCCTTTAGTCATGTCGATTGAATTAACAGATATTATAGCAACGCCATTTGAAATTTTTTTGAGGAGTGGGTAAATTCTTAAGGAAATCCAGGAGCTGCTAGGACCGTGAAAGCTTTAGGATTTTTCTAAAGTGAAAATGCAATATGTGGCCAGGCATTGGATTGTGCTGTACCTTTGCAGGAAGCACAGCAAAAACATAAAATAGTTCGAATTATTGTATAGCGCATTGTAAATGGTTGAATATATCTGATTTTGTGAGTATATGAAGGCGGTGGTGCTGGTTGAGGGAGACATATGTAGATTTCGCTTTATGTGCCTAGAGGAGAGAGAAAGAGTTTATTTATGTTGTATTTCATGATTTCTGTAGTTCATGAATAATTAATATTCTTAGAACATAAATTAATCAAACATTGTCGCTTTCTGTCGTCTTCTAGTGATTCTAAAACTTTTAGGCTCGTATATAATTTTTTGTTTAAACTTTTTTTAAGTAGAAACTCAGGCCTAAAAAAACACGAAAACCTAGTAGCAACAATAAACATTTTTAACATTTATCCACCAGTAAGAAGTGTGAGATTGTTTTTGTTTTTTCTGGCACAAATGAATAATATGTAATGCGATTTTGTCAATCTGCTAGGAAGAAAATACTGGCTAGCCTATGCAGCAGGTGGAGGGCGAGTCTAGAAGTTAGGGATGCAGTGTGAGAAGATGTAAGCAGGAAGCTCAAATTGAGTTTGTTACAAATTTTATCATTTTTACATTAGTTTTTCGCTGACCACCGATATTAGCTCCAGTGCTATGCTTAACACAGTTTCAGAATTTCTGCTCGTGATTGAACAGTAAAATTGAAAAATAATAAATGAGCATAATTAACGAACAAACACGATAGATGATAATGAATATTGATCCCCTGCAGACCAGAAAAAGAAAATAATAATTTCATGAAGGGTGGGAAGTAGTTTATTTCCATATTCTTTACAACTTTTCCAAGCGTATTTAGTATTCATGATGTATGTGATGTTGCTTTAAAAATGATAATATTGTTACGTCTTTGGTCGTTTGTTAATTTCCGGTATAAATTCTTCCCGAGGAACATCAGCGATACAAGTCCTTTCTTAAATAAAACTAGTTTATTCTTTCTCAATACAACTTTGCAATACACAGAATTTCCACGGTCACTTTAACTTAAAAAAAAAGCTATAATTCACAACGATTCTCGCACTTTACTTACAGTCACTACCGCTCACTTGACTCAATTATCTGTCTCTATATCTTTCTATCTCCAATTATGATCCCCGCTTTATTTGCCGGGCTTATATATTAAAATAGAGGGCGCCTAGAAAACAATAGAGTTGCCAGGAACAGTCATGATCCTTCTAGAAACTCCAGCGCGCATGCTTCCAGCGTCGCGTGACTTCCGCTGTCGTAACAATATCTTCTCCATGACGTTCTAACATATGCATTTTTTTTTTTCGTTTTAACGTAATCTAGGATTGGGAACCATAGCCATGACAAACGTTAAGCCTAGGTATTAATACTTTGGCGTTAAGTATAACTGTAGAAGGACATTTTGGATTAGGTCATAGACTATGCTAGCATCATCTTCCCACGACGGCGTGGGTTTTACCTGATTTACTGTAGCGTATTTCGATTAAGAGGTTGAACTTTTTCCTCGTGTGAGCGTTACCTTGTGTATAAACCCGATGACTGATACCCCTCGTTCAAACGAAACACAAATCATCAGGATCATAACAATGACATTTTTCGTGTATTATATTGCTCAACTCTTTATTTATGGGACTCTTTAAACATTTCTATGAGGTTGCTCTGTAACAATGTGACTTTAGGGTACTTTGTAATTATATTATCGAGTTTCTTCCTGGATTGACAGAACCTTTTATAAGGTACATAGAGATGTCAACAGAAGTGGAATTCTGCCAATACTCAGAAATTCACTTTAAATAGTGGGTGAATGGATATAGTTAACTTCAGAAAACTTGATATTCCATACAGTGTGAGGCCAAGGCCTGATAAAGGTAAGCACCTGTATTTCATTAAGGGGAATTTCATCACCAGATGTTTTCCAAGAAATGAACAATAAAACATCATGTATTTATTACTTTATCCAGTATAAAAACTTGAAAATATAATAATGAAATATTGAAATGAAATCAAATATTACACTCAACATATATAAACCTTACAAAAATTTCCACCTATTACGTAGTTTATAGAACCGTTCTTTATTCAGGAGTTAAATGCAGAGTTCTGTTTGAGGTAAGAACGAAACTCAACTCGTTACTTATTTTGCCTAGAGTCAATTATTGTTTTTTTTAAACCTTAGTTTCCGAATTGACAAAAAATGCAGATTACCAAACACCTACAAATGTGTTCATTATTTTAAAGCTGTTCAGGTGGTAACCTTAAATGTTACATATTTTATCACATATCATAAGCTATAATGTTATGTATACTACCTACCTATTTTTACAGCTTAGCTGTTTTCTCTAGCAAGGAATTTTGTAGCCATACTTTTGTTCTATTTCATACTTTTTATAATAATAATAATATGTTGTGTTTTATTTTTGTAATTTCACACACACAAAGGAATTAGCTTCTTTCCCACCAGATCTTCCACTTAATTTGCGTGTAAAACTCTTGTATTAATTTTAGAGCCGTAACCAGATGGACAGGGTGGTGTGTTAAATTTATTAAATTTAACTGTTAGACCTCGTAAACTAGTAGTTATGTAGATAGTTATCAATAACATATAACACATTTATATGTGTTACTGTACACTGCACAGCTTCTGATGGTTCTTGCTTATGTAGAAGCTGATTGTTGTTACTTTTGGCAATTTTTATCTATACTTACGGTCATAATTAACTACAAATGGTGGTTATTCAGTAAGTCTGAACAGAACTTAATTGCTTCGCCTCTTAAATTATTGTTTCTGAGTCATGAGTACAATGAGCGCCTTCTACTACCCTTTGTATTTGAGCATCTCAATTGAAATATTAGTAGTGTCAAGTTACATTTTTGTACTATAGAGATGATTAATTAACTGAAACTGTTAACTAGATAGAAATGTATGAGCTCTTTTACAAACAGTGTCTAGGTTTGAGGATTACAGGAGAATGAACATGCTAAAGTAGCACAATTTTGGCTTTACATTTGCGAGATTAAAAACTGAAATAAGTAGTAATTTCTTTGGTGCTCTAGTAGGCATTACTTCGACACCTTACTGCACCTTTAAAATGTTGAGTCATTAGATGTATCAGCGTACAATTTATCGAAAACGAACAAGTACTTTTACACAAGTAATGCAGAAATGGAACCACTTCAATGTTAAACTACGAAAAAATAAAAATAGTTGGTGAAAAGCTGTCAAAAAAAGTTGAAAAGGAGGTCATTTTGCTGTCTAGAAATTCACAAGTCCTTTAATTAATGAATTCCTCTATGCAAATTGGAACAAAAATAAAGGTAAAAAGAAAAGCAGGTGTTCGCTAGCTATGCACTTGGAGTTAGGTCATAATAGTATACAAATACTAAATCGTATCATAGCATATATTTATAGACTAGAAGCAGTGACGTCCACAAGTTATATAGCTTAACTAAAAATTGATACACATAAAATAAGCTCGAGAAGCAATGTTCCTTATGACATAACCACTTTTACCATATTATAAGTGGCTGATACGGATTAAGAGTATGGCGTCTGGAATACAGGTGGCCGCATGCCAATAATGTTTCGCTTGAGGGTGAGGCGACGACCTGTGTAATGACGCTCGATTATCACAGATGATAAGTAAGTCAGGTTAGGTCTCAAGTTCGAAGTCTACAGCGGCGATCAGGAATTTGGCACATTTTCATCAACAGTCTTCACACAGTAAATGACATAAAGAGATGTTTTAAAGCCAGGTTTATTGTAAACAAAATGATTAAAAAGAGTAATAGAACAAGCATTTCTGTTAAAAATAATTATAAGTAAAAATATTTATTTTTTTAATCGTGATATTCATATAATTCTACAGAAACATGAGGTGAGCTTTGTGGATCTCTTCTTTTAGAAATCTTGGACCTGCCCTTAATTAATTTGAGTATCTATGCAAAAATGCGTGAAATGAATAGTGTTTAGTATTTGACTAAGATCATTCTTATTTTAATTAAAACGTGATTTTGTATTTGGCATAAATATGGCTGGCTGGGCGTGGCATAGTGGTTAGCGTGCTCGGACTGTAAATCCAAGGATTCATGGTTTGCCTCC